GCTGGGCGCAGTGAGGGACAGTCCGGGCCCATGTTGTTACACTTCATTAGCCAAAGAGTGGGGAGGGGAAACCGAGCAAAGCGGCTTGCCCGAGATCACGCTGCAGTTCAGAGGCGTGCCCAGCTAAGGCAGATTCTAAACAGAAGGCAAGAGGAAAATTTAGGGTGGGAAAGGAAATGGGTCCATGAGGGAGGGCCAGGCAGCAGGAATCGGTGTCCCCTCCCAGGCGGCGCTCAGGAGCCAGTGATAGGATCTGGCTCCCTTCTCTGGGCCAGGCGCTCTGACTTCCCTTTCAAGCCAGCCTTTGGATTCACTCGTCATTGTTCCCCTGCTGCCCTAGTCTGGTACCCAGCAGCAGCGGCCCCCCTGCGCGGTGTCTCCGTGTGCTGGACAACCTCGCTGCCCCGCTGCAGGGGAAAGGCCGGGCCTCTGTGGTCAAGCACCTCTTCAGCATGTTGTCCCATTGCAAAAAGCTTAGCTCCCTGTCCCGGCGCCTTTTCTCCTGGCCCCTCGGAGAGTTTTGCTGCTGACTTCCTGGTGATCAGGATCTGACCCACGGTGCAGTGGAGGGAGGACGTAGGGAGGCCGAGTGGAGTGACCCAAGTGGAGGCAGGGCAGCAGGATTTTTGCTGACCGTCACGGTGTCACCTGAAAAATGCCCCCTTGTGCCCTGTTGGGGTGATGTCCAAGGGACGCGTCCTGGCCCATGCTCCAGCAGGGTCTGTGGCCGTGACTCTCGAGCTGCAGCCTGTAATGCTGATCTGTAGACAAGGGGTGTAAAGCGGTGAGGCTCTCTTCATTTCAGTGCTGTGCTGATTAACAGCTGAGGGTTTGGCTCGAGGCATCTGGTTTTACCCATCTCCTTGGCTGTGCACGACTCCCCACCGGGCTCTCCAAAGTCTGGGTGGTCTCCTGCACTGAATGGTGTATGCTAAAAAACCCGATATGACTGAGTGGCTAACGAATCCAGCTGTGGTCATTCTGAGACTGAGCTGCTGGGTTACCTTGGGCAAGTCACGTCTCTGTGCCTCAGTTTCCCCATCTGAGCTGCCTCTACAAAGTGTATTGATAAACTGGAGAGGGTTCAGAGAAGAGCCCTGAGAATGATTACAGGATTAGGAAACAGGGTGAGAGACTCACACAGCTCAGTCTGTTTAGCTTACCAAAGAGAAGGGGGAGGCTAACCCCGGCCTGCCCCTTCTGCCCGAGGTGTCCCTCCTTTGCCACGCCACGCCGGCCCTGGCCTGCCCAAGCATCCCCAGCCCCGGAGCGTGGAGTGAGCGGCGCGGGCCCAGCCCCGGAGCGCCGGGTAGCACGCCCCCTCCCCCCAGCCCCAGAGCACTGGGTGGAGTCCCTGGCTGCAGGCTGACCCCCATTAACCCCAGCACGGGGGAAGAGCTGGCAGTAGCAGAGCGCTGGGAAGCAGGAGGGGGCTGGGGATGGCACGTGGGCAGGGCCACGCAGGGCTGTTTGGGGAGGCTCATCCTCCCCTGGCCTTTGATGCCTGCCGCCCATGTCTCGGGGTTATTTGGGGGAAATCCTGGGGCCTGTGTTATCCAGGGGCTCAGACTCGATGATCACGACGGACAAGCCCCTGGCGTGGTCACCGTTCCGTCAAAAGCTCTCGCCCCTTGGCTCATTGCAGAACAGCCGCTCAGGCCTCAAAGGCGCTGGGCCGGTAGGAGTCTTTCCTCTGCCTGGGCCCTTAATCAGCTGATGCGCCCCACGTGGGGTGGCGGGTCCCAGGGGAGACCCGGCTTTGAATTCAGGAGGAGGGAGGGGCCTTGCTTGAAAGGATTCGTGGTGCGGGTCAGCGGCCGGCAGGAGCCGGAGGAGGAGAGGGAGGCGGGTTACCAAGCTGCTGGGGGGGTGGCCCTTGGGAGACATTTGCAGTCATGAAAGCATCTCTCTCTCCTGCCGCTTGGTTCCACCACCACTGAGGCTGCTTTGGGGCCTCCAGGGAACGCCCCAGCACTAACCGTAGGGAAAGGGACACATAGAGGCTAACCCAGATGAAGGCTCTACTGCGGGTCTGCGGGGGCGGAGACAGCAGTGACAGTAACCCTCGCCCCAGCCTGGATTTGAACCGTTGACTGTCCGCCCAACCCCCCTGCCCCTTGAGCTAAAGGAGCAGCACCGTAGCGGTCAGCAGTAGCAGGCTGCTATCCTCTAGCGGACATGGGCGCGCGACACATTTTGTCAGGCGAGCCGTGGTGCATACGCCCAGTAAACACTCAGGGTCTCCCCTCCCCAGGGACCCCCAACCCCCTAATCCCCAGCCCGAAAGATCTTACAGTCTAAAGAGAGCTGGCCTGTGCCTCAGTTTCCCATGCTGAAAAACAGGGATGTTGCTGCTGATCCCCTGGCAGAGGCACCCGAGGGCTTTGTATGAGGTGCGAGGTGCTGCCTTGCTCCTCATTCACCCTCACGCGAGCGAGAGGAGAATCCGGCCCGGGGCTGGTGTATTCGTGACTGGGGTCGGCTGAGGGGCAGTCCCATAGTGTCCTACCCCTAGAGCTGGGGAAGATAAACATGCCCACTTGCTAAGTGGCCTTTTCCCCAGAGACGCCGTCCCTTCGCTTTCCCGGTTCAGGGCCGTCGAGCCAGACGCGTCATTTTCTTTCCAGTTCTAAAGTCACGGCTGCTGTGAGCAAAGGCAAACCTCCCCGGTCTGGTTCAATGGGAGTTCGGCCTGGGGCAGGGGAAGCGCACCGCTCCAAGGGGAGCAGTGAGGATACCTGGGGAGCCCCCAGTGAGGTGGGGGCATATACCCGCTTGTAGCGGGGTGGTTAGCCGCTCCAGCCCTGACAGGGTTAAGGAGAGGGCTGGGGCTGTAAGGAAAAGCAGGCCCAGCTGGGGCCACGCCCCAAACAGAGCACAGCAGGTCCTTATAAAAGGCTGCTAGTTTGGTGCTAGGGTAGCCTCTCCGGTCTCGGAGGGAGCAGGGCCTAGCTGTTGGTAGCAAAGGTCCTGGGAGTGAAGCAGGGCTGGGGAAAGGCCAGAGGAGCAGGGGAGTTCCAGCCTGGCAACTCCCCAGGCTGCAGGGCCTGGTCCTAGGCCCACCCCTGAGGTACTGGGTGGTGGAGGAAGAAAGCAGGTCCTACCCCCTTGCCTGGCTCTTATACTGCAGTCTGCTCCAAGGAGCAGGGGCTCATGGCTGACTGGTAGCTGCTGGCTGAGGCAAGGTGGGATTAGGGGGTTGGGGGTCCCTAGGGAGGGGAGACCCTGAGAATGAGGGGTTACTGCCAGGGGACAGCACCCCAGATAATGGGGCACCGGAGTCCGGGAGGGACATGGGGGCCAAGCGGTACAGGACACTGGCCTACAGAGGGCGCTCCAATGGCTGGAGAGCTAATTTCCTGAGATGACCAGCAGGAGGCGCTGCAGGGGTGAGTCCCACGCTGTTGCACTGCTCCTACACCCCTTTCTGGGACACTCCTCGCTCTGCCCCAGTGGAAATTCGCACCGAATCGCTGACCCCGGGGGCCCGATTCTGCGGTCACAGGGAGAGTTGGCAGAGTAAAGCGGGCAGGATCGGGCCCAGCGGGATTAGCGCTGTGGTTTATATTTAGTGCAGCTTTCTCTGCCCTGGCAGGACGGCTCTCTGCAAAGAGGACTGGGAATCAGGACTCCTGGGTTCTCTGCCTAGCTGTGAGCCAGTCACTTCAGGCCAGCGGCTTCCCTGTCTGCAAAACTGGGAGTCACACTGACCTTCCCGTCCCTGGGTGCTGTGGGTCTGAATTCATTGTTTTCAAAGTGCTTGGAGATCTTTGGCGGGAAAGGGCTGGGTAAGATTGCCATTGTCACAGAGAGAGGGGAACTGGAACGCTAGATCAGATCATTCCATCTGGTATCCTTGCTCCAAGAGTGGCTGGCCCCAGCTGCTCCAGAGGAAGCTGAAAGAAACCCTGCAGTGGGCAGTTATGGGATAATCTGCCCCTGTGAAAAGTTACCTCCTGACCCCCTAATAGTTGGCATGCCCTGAAGCCTGAGGGTTTGTACCCCTCCCCCAAATCTTAGCTTTTCACATTCTTTCTACTAGAACCCAGGATACTCTTGTCCTCCACAGAAATGCCAAGTCCTCTTTTGAGTCCTGCTCAGCTCTTGGGCCTCAATGAAACATTGTGACCCTGAGTTCCACAGATTAATTGGGGGCTGTATGGAAAAAGTATTTCCTCTTATCAGGCTGATCTAGTTCTAAAACCCCCGAGTGACTGACATTTCCACCACGTCCCTTAAGTACGTCCTTCACCCCGCCTGTTAGGAAAATACCAGCCGGGCATCTCCTCTCGCTAACCTGAGGGAGTTGTATGGTGGGGAAGGGAGAGGCGAATCAGGCCTCCTGTCTCTTTAAATGGATGGACAATAGCAGGTGATCAATCAATGTCCATGTCTTCTATTGCATCATCCATCCTGGTTACTTTTGTAGAGCGATGGGGTTGTGGGGTGAGGGAGAAGGGGGCAGCAGGGCCGGGGGAAAGGGAGGGAGAGAAGTCGTGTGTGATGATAAGGGGGATCTTGCTATGCCACTTGGTCCCTCTACCACCCTCCCCCACACACTGCCCCCAGGATCCAGCGGCTTGGTCCAGCTCCGGAGCCTGGCTATCTCCAGGGTGCTTCTGTGGGGATCCTACGGGTCCCACTGCTGCAGCTCCATGCTCCGGACACGTCCGGCTTGACCCCATGTAAGAGCTCAGGCCGGGCTGGACGACGTGACCCTGACCGGCTGCCCCATTCCCCTCTGTAACGCAGGGTCTGCTACGTAGGCAGCTGAGACACCATTGCTGGGGAGACTGCAACCAGGGCCAGGCCCAGATGGCCCCCACTGGCCCTCCCCAGAGCTCTCTCACGCTCCAGACGGATAGGGGGTGCTCTAGTCTCCGGTGGGTGCTTGGAGACCCCGGGGCCCAGCCGCACGCGCCTCCCCAGAGATAGCCGTGCCAGCCACTTGGCTTTGGATCTCCAGCGCTCTGACCCTGCCTCCCCTCTTCTCTCCGCAGAGCTGCCCTGCCATGTCGTCCTCCAAACGCCGAGACGCGGACGAGGTTTTCGGTAAGTCCGCTGCACGGTCTCCACCCTCTTCCCGCCCCCACTCCCGGTCTCTCTGAGCCCACGTCCCTTCGCGCCTGCAAGCTCGCCCCCGGCGTCGCCAGCCAAGGGAGACTTTCCCCGGCGCTGATGGCCTACAGAGCGGAGCAGGGACGGCACGGACCCAGGCTGGGGGGAATGTGGGGCTCGGGGAGGGACGGTCTGGTGGGAGGGAGGTTGGCGGGGGTGTTAGGGCCTGGCAGCTGGGGGCCGGTGAGCTAGGGTGTGGCTGGAGACAGGGAGGTGGGAGATTGGAGATTGGGGATGGGGGAAGCTAGCGTTGGGGAGCCAGGGCGTTGGGGTGGATGTGGGGGAGGGGGGAATTTGGGAGCTAGGGCCTGGCGGGGGGGAGGGAGGATGGGGAGATCAGCAAGCGCAGGAGCCCGGGGCGGGTCTGGGAATGAATCCCCTCCCGCCCCTGAAAGCCGCGATCTGTTCGCCCACCCCAGAGGGGCCCGGATCCCTGGGAGATGGACTGGGACAGCTGGCCTAGGCTTCTGGCCCCTCGACTCCGGCCTCCAGCCCTAGGCTGGATTCACCCCTGGTGGGGGCTCCTGCTGCTGCCCTCCGGGGATGGGGGGGTCGCTGTGCTGGGGAAGGGCAGCACCTACTGAATCAGTGCCTGTCCCCGGCCGCCCATCCCTCTGGCTCCCGGGACGCTGCCTCTCTCGCACACACCTAGGAAGCCAGGAGCAAGTGGAGCCCTAGGTGCGAGGCCCCCTAGCATGTACACGTGGGGCTCCGCCTCCCCAGAGGCGCCTCTCCCCACTTCCCTCCACCCCGTGCCCCCTACGGCTGCTGGGATCCTGCAGGGACCCTGCATCCTGCAAGAGCCCCCTGGCCAACTCCACAGGGCCTTGCTCGTTCACACTCCTACTACTCCCTCTTGTCTCCAGCTGGTCTCCCCTCCACTTCCCTTTCTCTCTCTGATCCCTCGCTGCTTTCTTCTCCGGTCCCTCAGTGGCCAGGTGCTGCAGCGCCCACTCCAGCAGGCAGCAGAACTTTGTACAGGCTCCTACTTTGCCTCGGTTTCCCATCCACCTTCTGTGGGGGTCAAAGATCTGCCCTGTGCACCCTCCTCGGGGCCTGACCCTGCATCCCTCGGCAGCCTGAGACTCTCAGGCAGGTCGAGGCGGGTTTGGTGCACAGAAGGAAGGAAGTATCGGGCCCGTCACGTGTTTGTGTCTCTTGGGGCTTGCATCCACTCAGGCAGTTTGCACGCGTGGACCTCCTAGCGTAGGCAGTTGTGCAAAGCACGACAGTTGTGCAAAGCACGGCTGGCTCTGGGGCAGCTGGTCCCAGTTGGGCATGATAGCGCGACCCCGTTTGTGCTGTGGTAGCCGACTCGGTGCCAACCAAAGCCAGTATAGGCAGGGCTTTGCCAGAATCGCTCCCTCAGAGTGTGCGTCTGCCTCTCTCATTGACTGACGGCCATAAGCACCCAGGCAGGTGCACGTGTGTCCACACTCACACGCGTGTGCACGTATGGTGCCTGTGGTTAACAGGAGCCTGAGCCGTGCCATACTGCAAAGGCCACTGCCTCGACTCCCAGGGGGCTGGAGTTGAAAGACCGCGTGCCATCTGCAGACAGCTGAAGCTGGCTCCTGTCTGCGGCAAGAGAAAAGTCACCCCCCCCCCCCAAAAAAACAACAACAACTGCGCAGCAGGGCGGAGGAAGCGGCTGGCAAGTGAAGGGGCGAGTGCCCCCGAGGCACAGCTCTGATTTCCCCCCGCTTGGCTTGGCACCCGCCTGGCGTGCCCTGTTTATAACGAACAAGCTGGGATGAGCAGCGTGTAGCAAAGACAACCCGGGGGAGGCTGGAGACTGACAGCGCGGTGAGTTACAGCCACATTACTGCCCGGGGGGGGGGATGACCGTGTACCGCGTGGGCAGGGATGCGGCTACTGCTTAAAGAAGATGGTTATCTAGTCCAGTCCCCGGCAGGACAAAGTCATAACTAGACCCTTCCTGAAGGTGTTTGTCTAACCCAGGGGTTCTCAAACTTCATGGCACTGCGCCCCCTTCTGACAAGAAAAATTACTACATGACCCCAGGAGGGGGGGACCAAAGACTGAGCCCGTCTGAGTCCCACTGCCCCGGGTGCGGAAGGGGTCAAAACCAAAGCTCAAGGGCCTCGGCCGCAGCCCAGGGGGCTGGTAACCTGGGCTGAATCCCTTGGGCTCTGGCTTGGGCCCCGAGCCCCAGCAAGTCTAAGCCAACCCTGGCGGCCCTATTAAAATGGGCTCGCAACCCACTTTGGGGTCCCAGCCCACAGTTTGAGAACCGCTGGCTCGAACCTGTTCTTAAAAACCTCCAACGATGGAGATTCCGTGCATACATGTAGGCACGAGAGCCCACAAATATACGTGCGCCCATGCAACGCACATGCACTTGTGCCAATATTGGTGCGCAGATGTGGTGGCACAGACACACACCTGTCCCAAATGGCCACACGCACGTGCCCGCATGCTCAGGCACACACAATAGGTGCACGAAGGCATCAGGAGTTGCCTGTTTCTCGTTCCGCTTTTCCTCTTTACCCAGAGGCTTCCGCTGGAAGCATCTAGCTCTGGGGAGGTGGGAGGTTGGACAGTCAGCTGGTGAGTGCTGGAGAGTATGAGCCGGGAGCATGCAGAAGATTGCCTTAGTTCCTGGAAGTAAATATGGGACTGCAGTAACTGACATGATGGGGAAATGGGAGCCTAACAGAGGACCCATAGAGCAAGGGAGTTGGAGGCTGTTGTAGGACTGGCTTTGCAGCATAGGGGTGTGTGTTGCATATTGTGATGTGGGGCGAGCACTGTCCCTGAGCCTCTGTAGAGGCTCGGCGAGTTGGGTGGCTATTGGCGGCAGCGCTACCGGCTCTGCCTATAATTCAGGTTGTCTGAAATGTTCCATTAGAAGACCCTGTTTTCAGTTGCTTAGAACTTTGCCAGACATGAACC